TGCAAGTTTACTTAAAGCATCAAATATGGCCTTGAATGTCATTTTTGACTTATTTGACTTTTTTTTCGGGTCTTTTTCCGTTAAATCACGTGACGTATTTAATTCTGGTCAGAATTAAATGATCGGCATACAAAATACCCTTTTTTGGAATAAGGGTGCGAGACTGCGAGATCATTTTTCTTATTGTAAAAATTTACAAAATTAGAAAAAATAAAAAAATACTTTTCATTTATTTATTAGAGAATTAGAAAAGAAAAAAATACTTTTCGTCTTTATTAGAAAATTAGAAAAAATTGTTTTTTTTTCGTTTCTTTATTAGAACTTAATTTTTTTTTTTTACTGTTTTGTTAGAAAATTGTAAGAAAAACATTTTTTTTTTTCGTTTTTTTGTTAGAAAATTATAAATTTTTTAATTTGAAAAAATACATTTTTTCTTAGAGAAAATACATTTTTCATTTTATTTGACAATTAGAAAAAAATCATTATTAGAGAAAAAAAATTTTTTTTTCGCTTCTTTAGGAAATCAGAAAATCAGAAAAAAAGTCTTTTTTTTCGTTCTATTAGAAAAATTATAAAATTCGTGTTTTTTTTGTTCATTAGAAATCATTCATTGCTTTTTTTCACTTTTATTAGCTTTGGAATGGCTATAAACAACGGAAAATTTTGCTCATTGGTATAATTATGGTAGTCAGCCCTTGTGAATTACGCAATTGTGATGAACCTCGAATTGTTTTTATTTTATTTTATTTTATTTTAAACATATAGACACGACTGGAGCCTAACGATACATAAGGACAAACATAAACTACAAAGAAGCAGAAAAAAAATTAAAAGTAAACCTCGAATTGTGATTTAATAATTAATCATCAAATTAGTTAACCATCGAAATCACATGCACATGCATCTCCGAATAATTTTTAAATTTTTATTATATAGTAAAACAATTATTAATTACCATTTTTTTATTCATAATTCAATATAATTAAAAAAAAATGGTGTTTGTGTGACTAACGTTTAGTATAAATTAATTAAGACCGCTGTCATTAATCTAATTCCGGTTAATGAAATTTTTATTATTTTTTTTTTCCAACTGATCTAAATTTTTTCGGCTCCCCCTTTTTTAATTTTTGTTTTTTTTCTTGAACCGATCTTTTACTTTCGTTTCTTTCCTTTTTTTCAAATTTCCTCTTCTCTTTCGAAACACCTTTTTCCTTTTTAAAAATTTTTCTTTTTTTTTTTTGGACCGAATTATTGTCCTTTTTTTTCGGAATTTTTTTCGGTGCTTATTTTTTTTTTCGGATTTCTTTTCTTTCGAAAATTTACCTTTTTTAACCCGATTTCTTTCTTTATCCTTTTTCTTTTAATCCCAATTTTTTTTTCTTTTTCTTTCGAATTTTTTTT